TCAAAAAAGAGAATAAGTATAATTGAAACTTGGTTTCTCACACGCGAAGGGATTCTAACACTAGAAATACAGATTTTAGGGTATGAAAAAAAAAAGGATAAAGGAGCAACTGAGAGCAAAATTCACAAATAAAAAAGGGGTAGAACCGGGGGGATAAAAAACTAGAATAGAGGAGAGGAAGCCGTGTTGGTGGAACAGCCCTTCCACATCGTCATCTTCGTTTGCAAGTAGCAGATTCCAGGGACAGACGAGGAAGAGACTGGACGAAAGAGAGGAAGTGAGAACCAGAGAAAATAATAAGTATAAAAGGAAGGAGGAGATAAGCAGAAGGAAAGAACAACATAAACGTTGTCCAGGCACGCCATTACCATCGTCTTCGACATAGTCTCCCCGCATCAAGTAAGTACTTTCTCATTCCCTGCTTTCCTTTTTGTTATAATTTGCTTTGCTAGAGTAGCTGTGAATTATAATTCACTTTAGAAGTCATTTGTTCTTGTATCAGGCGAGCGCTTTCATGCACACCTGCTTCTTAGATCGGGCTGGGCTGCTGGGCCTAGCCCAACCCATGTGGGCTGAGCTGGGCCTAGCCCAAAAATGTAAATAAAAAAGAAAAAATAATAAAATAATAAAAATTATGTATGTAAAAAATATATATATAAATATGAATTTATTGTATTTTTTTATTCATTGACGCTAGAGTCAGAATAAAAATACCAATTCAAATTTATTTCATTGTATTTTATTTAGTTATATAAAAATAAAAAATGTTCATAAAAAAATAAGATAAGATAAAATAAAATAAATTTATTGGTTTATTCATTGACGCCAGAGTCAGGAATAAAAATACTAATGTAAATTTATTTATTTTTTTATTGAATTTTGTTTTTATTTAGCTACATAAAAAAATAAAAATAATATGTATGCATAAAAAATAAATTGATTTTTATTTGTTTATTCACTAACGCCAGAGTCAAGAATAAAAAAAGAAAATAGTGATTTAAATTTATTCATTTTGATACATACGTAATATTTATCAACGTCAGAGTTGGAAATATCCGTAATTGAATATTCATTGGTGCTAGAGTCAGGAATATTACATACAAACCATCATAGTATAACCAACAAAAATGTTAGCAATCAATGACAAAGATCAGCAATGCAGTCTGCCTCAAGCAGGACGTTTAAGGGGTGATAATATCTTTCCTTTTACGTAACCAGTCCTGAACCATAGAATCTCTGTTGACCAGTTAGGGTTCTTAATGACCATAATACTAGGTGACGACTCCTTAAATAAGACACTTCCCCATTAAAGAACTGGATACTAGAAATCCGTTCTTTCAAAAATTTAATCTTTAAGGCCGCTACGATGTACGGGTGCGACAAGATCTATAAAAAAAAAATAGAAGAGCTTGGATGGCGTCAAGTAGAGGAATATACAACAAAGAGTAGAAGAACCTATTTAAGATAAAGAGACTTTGGCACCAAGTTAAAGCAAAGATTTGTAATGATTTAATAAGTGTCTTAATTAGGACAACTCTTCTATTATTTATATAAGTAGAGCATTGTACATATGTTATGATACATATGATGTAACTTATTACATATGATAGAATTATACAAGAAAAAATATAATATTTTTTATTTTACAATACCTTCCATAATGTTCGTTTTCCTTTAAGGATATGGTTTGTATGAAGTGAGGGGGGAAATTACAAGCCTTATACTTATTTTTGCTATGATTTTTGGGATTTTAAAAAAAAAAAGGGTTAATAGGAGGTGTAAAAGTGCCTTGCACCTTGTAAGATAAACACATTCTAAAAGATTTTCATTTTCATTTTCTATGTTTTTAAAATCTAATATTAATTATTTTATTTTTATTTTACACTTTCTATTGCAAACCAAAGTATAACATTATTTAATTTTTTAAAAGTTTGATTTTATTTATTATTTGAATCTACTTTTATCCGTACTGTTAAGAAATTAAATGGAAAGAATTAGAAAAATAGATGCAACCATGATTTCTTTTCTTAAATGGACAATAAATTCAATAATAAAAAATAATTATAAATAAAAATAAATATAAGAATGAGAGGAGTTTAGAAAAAGTCTGAAATTGTAGCGGACATTAATGCTATCTTTACAACAAAAATTCCTCAAACCTTTTAATCATTATTTTTGCTAAATTGAATTAATAAAATATAAAAAAAAAAGTGTAGTGAAACTGAGATGAAAATAAATCTTTTAATTTCTCTTATATATTATTTATTTATGCATTTTGTTTTACCTGGCATAAAGAATTCACTATAATGGCTATGCATGGGCATACTTCCTCCACGTCTCCTGTAAGAAGATGCGGTACTGAGCATTTGCATGCTTCATTTCCTCCTCTTTAAAACTTTCTTGCCTTCCTGATAATGTTTGCATACCCTATCTATAACTCAGCCACATAATTAATGCCACCTATGCAGCCATTATTCTTATCATCTAGGGTTTTAGCGGGCGTGCAGACCACATAGTTGACGATAAACAGGAGACTGTGAAAGTAATGGCAGCCTCAGTTATGGCTTCATTGAACCTGAAACCATCTCCATTCACGGTTGAGAAGTCTTCAGTGAGAGGCCTCCCAACTCTTTCAAGGAGATCTTTCAAGATTGAAGCTAGTGGTGTCAAGAAGATCAAGACCGATAAGCCTTTTGGTCTGCTTCTTCCTCCTCGTATAACATACATATATATTACTCATACCCTTTTCATATGATGCATGCATGCATAAACAAACATGTAGAAGAGGAAAACACAAATCTTAATGCATTTTGTATGATTTGGGAGCATGAGAGAAGCTGATCTGTGATAGAAACATAAATGGAAGGTTTCTTTGAAGGGCCCATAATGATCTTCCTCTCCATTTCTGGAAGAAAGTTTATGATAAGTGTTTGAACAGAAAGTGAAATGCAAAGTTACAAAACAACAAATTAATTAATCACTGATGAATATTATTATAGAAAATTATGATAGTGATTTGATCTCAATAATTCTGTTTCCTTGCACTTTTTCCTGTTTACAGACAAGTACGAGTCCTTTCTTTCTCCTCTGATCTCTCTTACCCCACTCAAATATAATTAATTAAGAAAAAATAGTAATTATTAATTGACTTTTTCTCCTCATGTTCTTTTCTTTTATTGATTTTCATTTCCTCATTTAAATCCTTCTTTCCTTTGTCTAGAAGGGAGTTGGATCTTGCCTGGACTGTGCTTATTGTAGCATTTAACACTTCATATACATTCATCGTGTTTTCTTGTTGATTTTTAGAAGCAAAAGAAATTGCTTAAATAACATAAGATGGATTAGCTTAGAGTCTTAATTCTTTTTGTCCAGGAACGGGTGGTGGGATGAACCTGAGGAACGGGTTAGATGCATCTGGAAGAAAGCCCACGGTTCGTGTGTAGTGCTTTAATTTGCTTTCTAGTTTATATTGTCTTGTTTTATTTTTTATTTTTTTTCATGACGAAACGATTCCGAAATTAAATCTTAACACTCTAGTTCTCTTTAACTAAGTGTAAGGAAGTTTATAAATATTTCAAGTCCAAAACACTTTTATTTGAAAGAGTTGAGAGAATCATATAAATTATATTTTATTATTAAGTTAGCTACATTTACAGATAAAAAAAATAGAGTACTCGAACTCAATTCTCACCCCTCTTGCCAAGCATGAGTATAAGAAGCTCCTTGTCCTTCGATGTAGTTATTAATCAAAAATTCATGGAATTGCAGCCTAAGTTTGAGCGCATTGATATCTTCGTTGTTTTTACTGAAAGTTTACCGGTGATTAAAACTTGATCCTGCAGGGAAAGGGGGTGTACCAATATGTCGACAAATATGGTGCTAATGTGGATGGTTACAGGTAACTAAAATATCAGCTTTTGGCTTCTGTGATTCTTCATTTATATTCGTATTTGTGGCTCCTGCTTGAGGTTTACATGAACATTTATACCAGCATTAATTGGTCTGATAATTAGCAATGCATCTTGTAATTAGATAGTTCAAGTTAGATATGCATCTGTGATTAGGTCCTTGATAACACAAATCTTTTCTGCTGATTGAAATACAGCCCTATCTACAACACTGATGAATGGTCCCCATCCGGTGATGTCTATGCTGGGGGTAAGTAACTCAATGCGTTTCGAGAACTATACACCCATGATGCGGAGAAAGAACATTAAGTTATTGATTTCCCTGTTTATGAGGTCAATTTATCTGTTGATGACATGAACAATGTAATATTTACAGGCAAGACTGGCTTGCTAATCTGGGCTGTTACCCTAGCTGGAATCCTTGCAGGAGGTGCACTTCTTGTTTACACCACAAGTGCTTTAGCACAGTAGACTTCTGCTACTCTAATTTACAGTAATGGATCATATAGCCTGTCCCAATGATTGCCCAGAAACATAAACACTTCCTCCTTGTCAATCCCTCTATGTAATTTTTTTCTCCCTTGGACTTGTATTGCAATGGAGTACATGTCGTCTGATTTTTCATGCGAAATTCCCTTATTGTTAATACTATAGCTGCTGCTGTTGTTCTTTTGAGATCATACTCATATTATTCTATTCTTTGATCACATTCCACCTAGTCCTAGGTTGCTGCTGCTGGTGGTGGTGTCACGATAGATAGTGGCGGTGGTCTCTGGAATTAGTTGATGAAGTTGTTGGCTTACTTTCAGAATTTTAGCCTTTAAAATTGAGGGTGAGAGATGTTCCTGCGCCACAGGTCCTGCAACACAATATCCAAAGAGTATATTCCCATCTTGGGATGCTATGCCACACACAAAAAAAATATTGCAAGGAAAACAATACTGAATACTGTAGATAATCTCTGGATCATCCATTCTAAGCCAATGGTGTAACTCCAGCTGTCATGTAATCAGGTGGGGCCTCAAGAACCACCTAGTTTGAAACACCTGGCCATCCTGATAATGTTTGCAATATCATATCCAGATTTCAGCCACACAAGCAATGCCATGTAGCAAAAACTGTCAATGATTATCATGCTATCGCTTTCATTATCTAGGATGTTAGTATTTAATTGGAGCTCAAGACCAGCAAGTAGGAGGGCAAAACAAGCAGAGATCAGATCAAGCAAAGCTTAAACACTAATTAATCATGGCTACCAGCTCAGTTATGGCTTCATCAATGAGCCTGAAACCAGCTCCTTTTACAGTCAAGAAACCTTCTCTTCCAAGTCTTTCAAGGAGATCATCTTTCAAAGTTGAGGCTAGTCGTTCGAGGAAGTCCAAGACTGATCAGCCTTATGGTCTGTTGCTTGATTGATACATGTCCATAGAATGTTATGTTAATTAATTAATTACCCTTTTCATTAATCATACACATATAATTCTTGTTATTATTATTTGGGTATTGCTATACATAATTGTTGAGGTGCTAATTAATGTTGTGTAAGCTTAATTTTATACTGGTTGGGTTTGTTTTTTTTTTCCTAACCATACCCACTATGATTAATAAGTGTAATTAATTGATTAATAAAGTAATTAATTGATTGATTCCTGCAATTTGATGGGAGTTTTGAGGCCATGAATTAGACATCTTTATTTATATATATATATATAAAAAAAAAGGCTTCGGACATCGATCTTCTTGAAATATTTGGCCTTCGATCTTGCATTTACTATGTAATCAATGCATATTATATTCTCAGCCGGATGTCTGCGCTTCTACTAAGCAATTTAATTAAGAGCTTGTTAGGAAATTAATTATCATAATTCAACCAATTAAGGAATTAGGAATCTCTTCTTGCATGAACCTTTGCAGACAATTTTTCCTTAATTTTCCTGTACATTAAAGGCACCAAATATGCGAATAAGATCTGTCCTGGCTAATATTATTTTCTCTTTCCCATCGAAGATTTACGTGCTATTAATCTTTTTGTATTGTTCAATATAATTTTTTTCATCAAATCATTTTTTTTTCTCAAAAATATACATACGCATGCGTGAGCATCTGCGTGGCCTGTATTTTTATGAGTATGTTTTGTTCCCTTTACTTGAATATTTGTTGAAGAAAAAACATGGATTGTTGTACAGGAATCAATGGCGGCATGGATTTAAGGGGTGGGGTTGATGCTTCAGGGAGAAAGGGCAAGGTAAAATTTCTAAATCCATTGCCTTTTTCCTTCGAGTTTAAATACATAAATTAATTCATGTTTTATATATATATATGTTCACACACATACATCATTTCAGCTAGGAAGGTGGTGATCATTTCTTTGAATCAGTGGGGACGTGATGATGGGAGACAAATGATTTTATTAGGGTGACGACTCCCCATATGCATGGTTGATTAATGGTTTTAATGATTAGGAATGTATGTTTAGAATTGTGATAGATGTTAATTTTTAAAATGTAATATTTAAAATATATTAAAATAATATTTTATTATTTTTTAAAGTTTATTTTTGACATCAACATAATAAAATTATTTTAGAAAAATAATTTAAAACTAAAAAATATTCAAAATTTAAAAAAAGTGATCACTAATCATTGATTTAAATGGGCATTGAATTACCCTTCTTAATGAATTATTTTGTACTAACAGAGAGTCAGTGATTAGTAATCCAATTTCTGGGCTTGATGCAGGGAAAGGGAGTGTATCAATTTGTTGACAAATATGGAGCAAATGTTGATGGATACAGGTGAGCTATCTACTGTATATTTCTGAACATTTCTCTGATAAATGGAGGCATAAGTATATGACCAGAGACTGTTATTTTGTGGTGTTTAATACACAGTCCTATCTACGACCCCAAGGATTGGTCTCCAAGTGGTGAAGTTTATGTTGGAGGTAAGCAATGCTGCATTTTGGCAATTAATTTCATGATGCAAGAGAATATTTCTTTCAAAGATAAATATCTCATGTAATTCCCAGTTTAAGAGCTCAGTTTATTTGATTGAAAACATGAACAATATAATCCTTGCAGGCACTACTGGTTTGTTGATCTGGGCTGTTACCCTAGCTGGCCTTCTTGCAGGGGGAGCACTTCTTGTTTACAATACAAGTGCCTTAGTACAGTAGAGTTCTGTCATCATATCCTATCCTAATCTCTGTGTATTAGTACAGTAGAGTTCTGTCATCATATCCTATCCTAATCTCTGTGTATTACTTTCCCTTTTGAATTCGCCAGTACCTTGTAACAATTTCCGTGGATTAATAATAATGAGTGTAAGATCTACTTGTTGCTCTTTAACTTAACCTCGTTACCTGAAAGAGGAATCTTATGAATTCTTAAGACATGTTTTCATTGAGATGATACAGCACATTCAATGGACCATCTAGTGGAGCTGTAAGACTTCATAAGCAAAGCCTTGTTGACGAACCGATCCAGCCCTAGTTCTTTGCTTGAATGAATGGATACACGATTTCTTCTGATTCAAACACATGGCTATAATGCATTCCGCTCCAATTTCCATCTGCCATAACGGACTGCGAGGTACAAAGATCAATCTGGCGAACACCTGTTGTGAGTTACTGCTGTGACCATTTGACTTCTGCTGCTAAGTCGCCTTTAAGTGCAGCACTAAGACTTGTCATTGCCTCTGCGTGATGAAATTATTTAAGAGGGGATTTGAGGAGTTTTATTGGGCCGAGGCTGGAGGCGAATGAAACAACAGAGGATATATTCCTTCTTGTCAAGCCAAGCCTAGGCAGAGTGGTGCATCCACGTCTGTTGGTCCATTCAGTTCGAGGGTTAAATTAGCTGCAATCAGTTTTCTTTAACCTGTATCGCTGTCTCGTGGAAACTGAAACGGCATTTTCCTGCACCTAGTTGTGGAAGCATCGGCAACGCAGAATGTTGATGTCGGGGAAAGAAAGGGAGGTTAATCAGAAGCCGACATGGAACCAGTTTTTGGTTGCTGGACTCAGTTCCACCCGCCATCTGAAAACGGCTAAAACGCTCACGAGTGTAATGAATGCATCATCTATTTTTTTTTAATATTTTTTATTTATTAAATTACTAAACCTGATAATAACAAAATAATAATAATAATAATAACGGTGAAATGATAAAAATGACCTCGGACTCGAGGTATCGAATTTGAGCTTTAAATATAATTAGATCTTTTTAATGTGTTTTTAAAAACAAAAAATACCTATTTTATCTTTAATTTTAAAATATCCAAAAATTTTACTCTCAATGATTAGTTTTTTTTCATGGGCAAGGAAGTAAAAAAATCCACGGTGGGGATCAATGTTTTTACCGTTCCATTCAGGTTTCTTTTCTTTTAATTTTAATTTTAATTCTTGCCAGGCGGCAATTCTTGGGATGCATGAGAAAGCTTAGTAGCTACTAACTGCAGGGAGCCATGTCTACCAGCATGGAGCTTAAGCCTCTCCTCCGATCAACCCAGTAGCTCTCATGTCATATCACTTCACCTGTCATCCGATCAACCCAGTAGCTCTCATGTCATTTCATTTCACCTGTCATCTTGTCCTGGTTTAAAACTGTCGGTAAGGCCATAAACACATAAATTTTGGATTAAATTAGTGTTATCTTGCAAATTTATGTTTTCTTCAGAATTCTATCTTTCTGGGGTCTTTTCTTTTTAGATTGTTGAGGCAGATATATGGTCTCACTGAATTTTGATTGTTTCTTAACCATCAGTTTTGGGCATTCTCTTTTCTGCAGATAAATGGACAGTTAAAATAAACAATCTTCTTCAGGTTAGTCTTATTCACTGTAATTCTTTGTCTTCATTTGGGTCATAGATTCTTGGATTCACTCTCTCTATCATATTTATAATTAAAAAAATTGATTAAATTAGTGTTATCTTGCAAATTTATGTTTTCTTCAGAATTCTATCTTTCTGGGGTCTTTTCTTTTTAGACTGTTGAGGCAGGTATATGGTCTCACTGAATTTTGATTGTTTCTTAACCATCAGTTTTGGGCATTCTCTTTTCTGCAGATAAATGGACAGTCAAAATAAACAATCTTCTTCAGGTTAGTCTTATTCACTGTAATTCTTTGTCTTCATTTGGGTCATAGATTCTTGGATTCACTCTCTCTATCATATTTATAATTAAAAAAATTCAGCTGAAATAGCTAGAATTCTTGTTGAGTTCTTGGAGGCTTCAGTTGTTTTTCTCGAAGGAGTTTATCCTTCAGGTTCCAAAACTAAAAGTCACACTTTTTAATGTAGAGTTTTGTCCTTTATAATGATTAGCATGTTCATTTATGGAGTTTTGGTTTTGATTGGTGAAGATGCATTTGCGAGGAGGAGGTATATGAATGTGGTAGTGCAAAGAGCTAGGCATCCCCAGCTTAGAGATTACATTCACTCTTCTGTTTCTGGGCTTATCCAAAAGGTTGGTTCTTGATATTCCTCTCCTTTGATTACTGTACTTGAATAAATGGTAAAGAGAACTTTTTGTCGGTTGTTTTTTAATGCAGTAGTGTTGATACTGTTAGAAAAACTCCTTTATAATACTTTGTAGAGATCTGGTATGTCAATGTGCTTACAGGTATAGAAAGGAAGAACTTTTTGCTGATTGATTTTTAATACATAGTTTGAAATGCTTGTAGAAATCTTGGTTTTGTTGATACTTGATTGAACTTGGTCATTCCTTTCTCCGTTGTGTGTGTGTGTCACCGAGTTGGTTTGCAATGTTCCTGCTCTACAGTACTTTTTGGTTTTCTTTCGTCAAATTCTTTGGCCAAAATAGAATTTACAATGTTCATATTTACTGGGTGAACTTTTTCAAATGTTTTCTTAATGAATTATTTCTGATCTGTTGACTGCTTTCCTTGCTCTGTTGCTAAGTTTTACACGTGGTGTTGTAGATTCTATCCTCTATTAGATAGGCCGAATTGGAGTGTTTATTTTGATGTACAGCCCTAACAGCTGGTCCATTTACAATGGTGAATAGATTCCCTTCTCAGCTGAGTTCACCCTGGTTTTTTAATACCATTAAGAAAACTTTTGTATGTGTAACTATCTATGGTATGCTTCAAAACAGGGACTGGTGGAGAGAGTAGCTGTAATTTTCTTTATAACATCCTGCTAGAGAGGTTCATTTTCAAGCTCACAGTGAACCAGTCTCGTGGCTCAAAAGTGGAAGGAGAGTCCTCTGTATGATCATTCTTGATGTAGTTGAACTTATTAGAATAAGTGATTCTAGTCAACAAATAGATATGTTCCACATATATTATATGAATAATGTAGTAGATATATTTATGGATTATTAGATTGATCTCAAATATTTACAAGAGTTTTTCGTTTTTCTTAGAGTAATTATGTAATTACTATTCTAAACGTCGAATGTTTATATTTTAAAAATCTTATTTTGATGATCTAATTTTAGCAATTTTTCTGATTTTTTTTGTTATTTTTTTCATTTCATGACTTTTTTTTTGTAATTTCACTTTTTTTTTATTAAGTTAAAATTTCTAATCTATTTAAAAAGCATTTAGAAATACAGGTCAACCCATATTTTTAAAAAAAGTTTAATATTTTAGTTAAAAATTAATTTTTTTTATATTTTAGATCGTTGATACTAGAGTTTTAAAATTCAAACCGATTCAGAGGATCAACCTAGACCGGCCAATCTAATCTGAGTAGAGTCAAAAACCTATGTAGAAATTAGCCCTGCAAAGCCTCATCAAATCAATTCAATACCCGGTTCACCTGGTCAAACCCAAGTGAAACTCAATTAATTTTTTTTTTTTATGTTGACAGTCATTGAACTACATTGTTTTGACCTTTTAAAAGGCCAAAACGCTGAATACCGAAAAATAAAGAACGAAGCAATTTGCAAACTTAATTAACTAACTCTTTGAATTTTGAAACCCAGCTGAGTAGTAGAGGACGGCTGGGGACGTCTGATTTGATGCTTATTACATCTGGATGCAAGGTGGGTTCCCAACGCAAGAACTTTACAATAAAATCACCAACCTCACAGCAGAGGGTAGGAAGAACAGAAGGTTGCATCAAAAGCCCTTAAGGGAGAGCTCAGGTAATTAAAATATCTTTTATCTTATTGCCATCTTTCTTTTCCATCTCAGTTTCCATACCCAGAACATAAGCTTTATACTTCATGGAACAAAGAGCTGATTCAGCCTCAAGCCACAAATTCTTGTACAACAAAACTTGAGGGTTCTCTTCTTCCTCAAGTTCATAATGTCCTTCCAGGGCCTTCTCAATGACCTGCATCACCAACAAAAATGCAAAGATTTGGTTGCTGATAAATAAATTCTACCCACAAGTTCCAGAAATTAAGATTGGTACCTGAGTAATGTGTTCATTTTTATCGAATCCTCCATTCCTTGCATTTAAAGAATCCAGGAATCTCTCCCTTAAACTAGTAGAACTCATCTGCCTTTCATGCTTGTTCTGATGATTCTATTTATTTGGTTTTTAATTTAAATTTGATTTATGTATTTTTACAGGTGTTTTTTTTATTAATTCGGGTTAATTTAGATCATTCCATTTAATTTGTGAATCAATTATTTAATCAGGTTGATAACTGGATTGAGTTTCAAAACTATGATTCTAATTTGTAAACCAATCATTTAATCGGATTGATAATTGGATTGAGTTTCGAAACTATGATTGATATATTAATTTTTAAAAATAATTTTTTTTAAAATAAAAAAAAGTTAAATACATTTCGGTATGATAAACAATTTAAAAAATAATCATAATTATATTCCCAAATAAATATTTAAAGTTTTATAAACCTCCTAAAAAAATAGTCTTAATGGCTATTATTCTATTAAAAATAAAACCAACAAACTTGAAATTCTTTTAATCAAATTCTTTTAATCATTAAAATTCTTCTGTTTTTTATTTGTTTGTTGCTGCCTTCAACCTCCGCGTGCATTCATTCTTAGTTAAACTGCCTGTCTCGGAAGGTCTTACCAAAGTACTTCCACGAGGTACTGGGTTAATGTGGCAGTAATTTGGTATGCATTGTCTGCTATTGGTTGGTCAAATTTGCTAGATCCACAAAATCCAAGCAAACGCTCTTGCTGTTTGCTGTATGATTTAGCTTTTGTGAACTCTTCGACATTTTTAGAGGTGAGGATTGAACTTCTCTTTTACCAGATTGCAGGTGGGAGATAACTGCTTATGATAGCGCAAGCAAGGATGCAGATTTATGGATCCCGACAGACACAAAGCAGAGGCAGCAACCTCCCTTAATAAGATCCCGACAGACACAAAGCAGAGGCAGCAACCTCCATTAATA